GTGCTATAGCAACACGGTATGAACCAGAAGCTAATGCTAACGCGCTATAGCAACACAGTATGTATCGGAAGCTAGTGCTAATGCGCTATAGCAACACGGTATGTATCGGAAGCTAATGCTAACGCGCTATAGCAACACGGTATGAACCAGAAGCTAATGCTAACGCGCTATAGCAACACAGTATGTATCGGAAGCTAGTGCTAACGCGCTATAGCAACACGGTATGTATCGGAAGCTAATGCTAACGCGCTATAGCAACACGGTATGTATCAGAAGCTAATGCTAACGCGCTACAGCAACACGGTATGTATCGGAAGCTAGTGCTAATGCGCTAAATTCAATTAAAATTATATCTGCTCTTGAAAAACTACAACCATCGAGCACCAATTTAATTTCGACATTATTTCCATGTTCTTAACGCCCTTATATACTGAATTTATGTTTATATCTTTGTTTTATTTTGTTTCTGTATGTCTCTTGTTTCACATAAATTATTGAGGAAAAATGAGAAAACATGGAGAGGAAACCAAACTGCTGCATAAACAGTTTTCCTGCACTTCAAAATAAGAGCGTGTATATAAACGTCTAAATATTTGGAGAATTTTTAAACTTTCAAAACAAATATCGAACTTTATTCAACTGAATATTTACAAATTAATTACCGCTTCAGAATTTATATGGAAATAATAATTTAGGGAAGCTAAGTGTGCTAAACGTTTTCAAAGCTAGCAAAAGTGCTAAATTAAAAATTAGCTTCAGTATTAGCGCATTAGCGGACGCTCCCAACAGGTTCTGTTTATTTAGCTAAACTTATCAAGAATCATTCTGTGCATCATTAAAACCCCAAAATGAAAACAACTTTATCACAAATGATGATTTATTTAGACTAGCATTTATTTGGTAATTTTATTACATAAAATCCTGTTACACAACAAATGTTTAACATTTTAATGTTTAACATCTATTTTAAATTCCTGAGGATGGAAATGAGTTTGATTTATTTTCAGGGTTGCATGACAGACTGTGTCGTTTCACTGAACATCCAGACTCTGAATGATGAATATCTACATTTTCTCCCTGCATGAAGCATTTTGCTAATTAATAAGGAAACTGGAACCAGGCTGAAAATAATAAAACTCTTTCTGTGTCTTAAAGAGTTTTGGGAAACCAGAGGAGAGAAAAGAAGAGGGAAAATAAACTAGATTTGATCTTTATCTCCTCCTTTCTTTCAGACTTTGTTCTGTTTCTGAGGCATTCAAAAACAAAAAAACATTTATCTTTCAGCCTTTAGCATGTCGGTAATTCATTTTATGTATTTTTAATGTAAAAGGCCCAATAAGGCCTTTCATAGCAGCAGAAGAGCTCATTTTCTCCCCTGATAAGTGAATTTATTCCCTCCGCTGTGCAGACTCTGCAGTAACCAGCTGGGGGACAAAGGAACCGTGGCTCTGGCTGAAGCTCTGACTTTCAACCACACGCTGCTGTCGCTCCAGTCAGTGTCCTGACAGACAAAAATACCTTCTGCTAGTAGAAGCAGAGAAGCTGCATTAACAGCAGCTTTATTAACTTTTTCTCTTCCACAGACTTCAGAGTAACTCGATCAGCAACAAGGGAATGACGGGCCTGACCAAAGCGCTGAGGCTCAACCGGGGACTCGTCTCTCTGAAGTGAGAACTGGGTTTAATTTACAGCTGAAACCATTAATCACGATTAATCGATTGTTGTTACAATGGTTAACTAATTTACTAATCGGTTAATTGTTAACTACAGACTCAAATTAAGGCCGTTTGCTGAAAGAGCAAAACCCTCAGAGGAATAAATTAAACTAACACTACATTAAAAAAATCTACATTTTTCATTTGTGATAAAAATTAATCTTTGTAAAATATTTTCTACCCAGAACTCCTCAGGTGGTATTATCTGCTTCACCAGGTTCAAATTATGAGAAAAAGCAGCTTTTTCATCCAGTTATTGATGATTTAATCTGAACCAATCCCCAGATCAGATCTGGACTGTCGAACAGAAATTACTTTTCTGCACTAAACAGAAAAGCTGTTTTTGCATTTTAGGCAATAAAACATAAAAAATTTTCTACCTTAAAAGGGAATTTAATTGTTTGTATTTTTTATTTATTTTTAAAACTGTACAAAAGGAGCTTAAGGAGTTAAATGAAAAATGTTATCAAATTAATCAATTCATCAAATAATTGTCAGAAGAAGAGAGGATTTAATTATTTTTAATGTATTTATGTAAATTAATCTCAAGTAGTTTAATGAAAAATCAGCAGAATGTGACAATTTTCTATCCTATTTATAATCAGAATAATATGATTGTTCTGACGATTAGTTGATTAATCGTCAGAATAATGAACTACTACAATAATAATTTGTTGCAGATCTGGTTTATTTCTGATCATTTGGATGCTACAGTGACGCCAACATGAATCTTGTTTTTTCTTGCAGTTTGAGGGAGAACTCCATCGGGGTGGAGGGAGCCAGGAACATGGCTCACGCTCTGCAGGAGAACAACTCTCTGCAAAACCTCGAGTGAGTCCTTACATGGCTCCCAAACTGCAGGCAAACTTCACAGAAAATCCACCGCAGCTCTTTCAGTCATCCACTGCTTTTATCTAATTAAGGTCAAATATAGAAAAACATGAAAAAGACGCAAAAAGGGAAAAACCAATAAAAACACACAGATGAATCAGAAACACTGGATTTCTCTTTTTCATCTCGTCTGATTGGATCAGTCATGAATCTGTGTGTGTGTGTGTGTGTGTGTGTGTGTGTGTGTGTGTGTGTGTGTGTGTGTGCATCCCAGTCTCACAGCTAACCTGCTGCACGACGACGGGGTTCAAGCAATCGCTGGAGCAATCAGGTTTAACCAAGGACTCACGTCTCTGCAGTAAGTTCAGTTTGCAAAACAAGCAACACATAAATCTCATGTTTATTCAAACTTTTTACCCCCAGTCAAAGCTCGACCCACATCTGAAATAAAAAATGTCTCTAAAACGTCAGCGTACCAGGGCTTGGAAAAGTATTCACTCCAGTTGTTTCATTTTAATGCCCAAAGTGGAAGAAAATGATGCATTTTAAAATAAGATTGAACATTGTGGTGTGTATTTAAATTTAAATGTAAGTGACGTCCAATAAGCAGATGATTAGAGCCTCTCCACCAGCAGGGGGGCCCCAAGAGCACCAAGCTACCATGATTAAAAAATACACACGGATAAGATGCGCTCTATAAGTTTGCAGATTTCTACAGAAACCCTGACTTTCTCCTCATGTTTCTCCTTCTCAGCCTCCAGTGGAACTTCATAAAGTCGACGGCGACCAAAGCTCTGGCCCAGGCGCTGCTCTCCAACACCACCATCCAGCTCCTGGAGTGAGACCAGCTTACAGAAAAATATCCATGTTTACAAGTCATGCTTTCATTCTAATGCTTCAAAATAAATATTTGGTTAGAAGCTAATATTTAATTTGAAGCTATCTAGCTGAGCTCAGAGCTCTATATTTAGCAAATATGCAAATTCACTTAGCTTGCTAACTAAATGTTTATCTTCAATCTGTAGCTTACCAAATAAATATTTAGGTAGGTTATAATTAAGTAGTTGGCTGAGAACTATTTAAATGTTAATTTGTAACTTAAATATTTAGCTAGCTTAAAGCTAACAGAACATTGAGCTAGCTCAGATGCAACTAGGTTGAAACTGAATATTTAGCTTCTAACTATAGCTTACTAGCTAAATGTGTTGCTACTAATACTTATCCTGAAGCTAAATAGTTTGCTAACTTAGAGCTAACTGGACATTTAGCTAGCTTGGAGATAAATATTTCAGTTGACACTAAATGCTAACTATTCTCTAAACTTCCCAGCAGAAGCTCTGAGAAGACGCTCGTACCGACTTGAGTTTGAGAAGAATTGTTGCTTAGCGCGTCTTTCTGCTAATCGGGTTTTTAACTACAAACCCTCGTGTTTTCATTTTGGTTCCAGTTTACAAGAAAACACCATCGGGAACGAAGGAGTGATTCACCTTGCTGAAGCTCTGAAGGTCAACGCGTCTCTGCGAACCTTATGGTTGGTGTGACAGTTTGAGCTTTTTATTAGCGATGAAAAGCAGCGTCATGTCTGACAGATGCTTCCTGCTCCCTCAGTCTGCAGGGCGTGTCGGCGGGGACGAGCGGCGCCGTAGCGATGGCTGAAGCTCTGACCTCCAATCAGACGCTCCAAACACTGGAGTGAGTCTTTCTTTCATCTGTCGTTCTTTCGTTTCGACTCTTCAATCAGCAAAACAGTTTTTTTTTCTTTGATTTTTTGTCATCTTTATTTTTAAGTCTTCAGACGACATGCAGCAAAACTTGGATAAAATTTCCAAGTGGGAAGTGAAACTGTCTGGATTTAATTTTTATTTACATGTAGATTAAATCTGGATCATTAGCACTAAATTCTTCACACACTTTTTCTGTACTATTACATCATTTACTACCTGCTTTTAATTATTTTTATTCTCAAATTTCAGACGTTAAACCTCCAGGATGTAACTTTTATAAAAAATATTTTTTTTACATATTTATTCAAACTGTCTTGAGACCGATAATCTGGGAAAAAGATCCAACTCCTCCACTTCCTCTCTGAGTTTCTGTTGCTGTCTGAAAACGTCGACAAAAACACCAATCAGAGCTAGGAGGCGGGGCTTAGCGCTGTCAGTCACTGTCATGAACTTGCTGCTAAATGTGCCAATGGTGGAAAAACAACAAACCATAACAGGAAAACCATTTATCCTCCGTCATCAGTGGCTAAGTTAACTAGCCTTAGCATTCATGATATTTAGTGGAAGCTAATGCTAATGTGCTAACTTCAGAATACCCTCCAGGTGTCATGAGGAGGACATGCAGACACAATTTATATCCTTTTTTATGTATTTGTTGAGTTAATTTTCTGTGTTTTCTGCAGTCTGCGTGGGAATGCGGTGGGAATGGAAGGAGCCAAAGCTTTGGCCAACTCTCTGAAATCCAACAGGAGCCTTAAATCATTAAAGTAAGTCTGAACTGTTCAAATCTGAACCCGCTTTTTTAATTTATGCACTTTTATTTCATCTCTTAAACCATTTCCACGGTGGTGAATTAGAAATGTATAATTTTTCTTTCTTGCAAATATGAACATACTTCACTAGGAACCAATGGAGATTATTTAAATATCTGTCTCTGCATTCAATAAGTTCTTCTTAATATTAAATAACACCAAACATCTTTTCCAGAAACATCCCTCCACGATTTGACAATTGTTTTCTTGATTTTTTTTTTGGCAATCAAAATCACAGATTTTGTAGAAATATTCACAACAAATGTTTCTATATTTGGCAGTGAAATGAGAGGAAATCTTGCAAAAGTGAACTAAAGTAAACTTTGTTATCTTTCAGTCTGCAGGAAAACTCCTTGGGAATGGATGGAGCCATATTTATTGCTACGGCTCTAAAGGGGAACCACCAGCTGGCTTACATCAAGTGAGTTTTTCCTCCCATGTGATCGCAGCGATGCCGCACTATGGCCATTAAACTCAAACTCAGAAATGTTCATGTTTTTTCTGATTTCTGACATTAATCTAAAAAATGTTTGAGTGTTTCCTAAAATTATTAACTTTTAAAATTCAGACATTTCCTTGTTTTTCTAAAAAAAAGTAAATGTATGTGATGTTTTGACAGGAATGTTCTCCAGTTGTTCATTAATCAGAAACAATAAAGTTTTTTTTCCTCCAGTTTGCAGGGAAATGGAATCGGTGAATCTGGGGCAAAGGTCATATCCGACGCCATAAGAGCCAGCGCTCCCGGCTGCGTGGTGGATATCTAACCAAGAGCAGAAAACGAGATTTTATTTAGTCAAACTATCCATGTACAAACTTACCAATAACCTTTTAATCGTTATTGATCTCCATGTTTTCTCTTACTGACGCCTGATTCAGAAACCAATTAAACATCAACCTATAAAAGATGTTTTCATAAATTGGACGTTAATATTTTTATACATACTGTATGTTTTGTGTATTATAGATGTAAATTGCCACATTAAGCTAAAAATAGATATTTATGTATAACTGCTTCTTAAAATCTGAGGAAAAGAAATAAAATCTGTCAGAGAAAGCCAGAATGTTTACTGCATTTATTTCTGTCAAAGCGTGAAACAATCGTGTTATTAGAGAAACAGAGGAGCCACAGACTACAGGTGGTATTAGATGCACTTTTAATATTTGGGGTATTTTATTATTTTCTGAAAGCGTTTTCCACTTAGGTTCGCCTTGTTGTTCCATGTGGTTTTCTCACCACATTAGTCAACAACTGGATGTCTATGGGTGCGTTCACACTGCAGCCTGAAGTGACCCAATTCCAATTTTTTTACGTAATGCGACCTGTATCCGATCTTTTCATGGCAGTGTGAACAGCACAGGTCGGATTCTTTTCCGAATGTGACCCATATCCGATACGTATCCGATTCAAATGCGACCATGACGTCCAGGCCGCATTCATCCGAACTGAACGTCACTGATTCTCAACAAATCTCACTATTCTGCGTCCTGATAAGCGCAAGCGGGAATTAAAACAACAACCACGATGGAATATATGAGGATTAAGTTGTTAATATGCTGCTCCGGTTGGACAACAACTTCAAATGTGTAAGCTAAGCTCCACCGTTAGCCTCCATGTTTACTTCCGCAAACACTGAGCACTTCTTCTTTTTATGGCGGTTGGCAGAACACTGAGAACGCTGACGCTATGGCGCCCTCTACTGCGCATGCGGGACACTTTCAGGTCGTTTGCCCGTTCACACTGCAGAACGCATACAGGTTGCATTTACTGGCAGTGTGAACGGCCCCGGCAAAAAAAATCGGAATTGAGTCACTTCAGGCTGCAGTGTGAACGCACCCTATGGTTCCTTCTGGCGGAACAGACGAAGAAGAAGACGACAGGAAGTGATAGGAGAAGAAGAAGAAGCAGCAAGTTTTTAATGACTTATCGCGTAAACAAACTTATTCACGTGTGATTTTAATTTTATTTCTTGTTGAATGGAAACAATGCAACTGTGAAGTTGTATTTTTTCTTTATTAGTGGATTACTGACAAGGTTTTTCGCACATTTGAAATGGAAACGTAGCTAACGCTAATGGGTTAGCGCCACAACCCCGCATGTACAAACACGTTTGGGCAGTGAGTGAGTAGTTTTTTATTTTTACTTTAATGTTAATTTATTGAAGAAAATGTAATTTTTATTCAGTCGGAGGTGACTGGAAAAACGTTGCAGACATTTAATCAAGTGTTAGTTTCCAACCTGAGTGTATTTATGCTAGCAGCTTTATCCCTGTTAGCATCAGAGCCGGAAGCTGCAGGAACTTGACCAAGACTCTTAAACCTCTTATCAGCTCAGATGCATCCCTCAGGTAAGAAAACACGAGGCTGACTCTGAACAGCATTAATCCCTCTTGTGTGAAAAGTGGAAGTGATGTTAGCATTGATGTCCTTTTCCATGTTACTTAAGGAAAGTGTCCAGTGGTTTCACAGCCTGACTGTTCACTGAGCGATCGGGGGAAAAGGTTTCAGCTGCGGTTTTTCTTCTGGCTCTGATATACACGACAAAAACTCCGACCTTAACCATTATAGTTCCTTATTAAGGAATTCAAACTTCACATTTTGTATCCTCTTGCATAAATGTCTGCATTAGTTGGGATTTAATGTCATAAACACCATATTAAGCTGGTCTAAGTGTCAACTTGAGTTTAAATGATGTCTTAATGTTTATTTTATTGTTGTTTTTTTTTTTCAAATAAAAAAATGTGCATGTAAATGTATTTTGGTTTATCAAAGAATGTTGATGGATAGATGGAGGAACAGTCCAAATGTGTGCCTAAGGATCTCTGTAGTGTTGTGCATGCTAACTATCTGTGCTAACTCAGCACTAATTACAAACTGCTAACACTAGAGCGCTACATCAACATTATATTTTGAAACAATGTCAAATCTCTATACTAATATAGTATTTCAGAGAAGTTGGCTGCATCAACTTAGTATTTAGTGGAAGCTAATGCTAAAGCCTAATAACACGGTATTGAGTCAAAGCTAATGCTAATGTGTGATAACAAACTGGTACTTAGCTAATACTAAATCGCTAAGCTGCTTTCTCACATCCCCAGAGAGGATGTGAGAACGCTCTCAGAACAATTCATATATTTTTGCATGTATTTCTTACATGAGCACCTGTGTTTTGTTTTTGTTTTGTTTTGTTTTTTTATCTATTTTTTGCTTTTCTTCTTCAGGATCAGGGAAACTTGTCAGAGTTGGTGGAAATCCAGGTCAAACCTGACACTTCTAATGTAAACATTTCCCTGAACATTTTATTCAGTCATTTTAAAAATGAAAAAACTGTTTATTTAACACATAATTTAGTCGTATTTATAGTCCTATACTAGTTGCACCAAGCATACATATAAATGAAGGCATTTACTGTTTGATTGTTCTTTACTTTTACTGCTACGAATTCAGAGATTTTCCACAAGAGCAAAATATTGAAAATCCATTTTCTGCAAATGAAGGTGAGAATAAATCCATGTCAGCCTTTCTGCTCCCGCTTGTCCATTATTGATCCAGGGAATGTTTGGCGTCGAAGCTTCATGCCTAAACGAAAAGGAAATCAGGACTAAAGCAGAGGAGCATTGAATGTTAGTAGACAGTTTGTGCACAAACTACTTCAGGCTTGTTTACCTCTAAAGATTCAGGAGCTGAAAAATGTGGAAAAGCTTTAAAATCATAAACCCAGCCCTGGTTTTATTTTTTTTATTATTTATATATGAAATTGCCTGGCTACTGTGCTTCATAACTCGAGTGCAAGAATAAGGAAACTTGGAAAACAATAAAAAGGATGTGACTAAGGGAGGATAAATTATTGCACTTTAAGCTGTCAGAGCAGGAATTACTGTACAATTTTAGTCATTTATTATGATTAAATCTGATTCTGCAGCTGACCTGAAAGTCATGGATTGAACAAACAGCTTCCTGCGTTTCCTCCTTAGCTTAACCCAAGGCCTGTTAAGAAGACTAATGTTCTTAAAGGGCCGGTTACCAGAATACGTTAATAAAACTCATTAACAAACTGCTAAAATATTAATACATATCTGTCTCCATGTTCCATACGTTCTGCATAAGGTTAAATAAAACTTAACGTATTTTCCTGAGAAATCCCTCCACAATTTCATAATTATTTTTATAATATTTACCATAGAAATTACAAATTTTTTTTTGGTGTTAATTTAGAAATTTTTGCATTGAATTTTGCAATATTGGTGCTTATTTATGACGGTAAATTTGACTTTTTGTTATTCAATGAATTAATCACGGACTATAACTGAGTAAAGCTGAGTTATAGTAAAAATAAGAAATGGTGCCACCTGCTGGTTGGAGGTAGCATCATTTAACCCCAATGTTTTTGACCATTTTTACATACAATTTGCAATAAAGTCAGTAAAAACATTATTAAATAATATTTAAGAAAGCAGCTGTTATCCTGAAGGTTTTGTTTTGCTCTGGAGTCTAGAGGGCCACATGAGGAGCTACGGCGGGCCAGATTTGGCCCCCGCACCTTGAGTTAAGAACCTTACCATTACCCAGGGGTGTCAAACTCATTTTCATTTTAAAGTTAAATTAACATCTTTTCCAGGAATATCCCTGCAGGATTATTTTTTTAAATATTTGCCATCAAAATTGCTGAGTTTTTGGTGCTAATTTATAAATATTTACAGCCAATTTTGCAAAATTTGTGCTTAAATATGAAAATAAAAACTGCTTCGATTTTATTGAAAATTTAAAAAAGAAGTATTTCAGCATCGTGAGCACAGCTGTTATGTTGAAGGTTGTGGAGTCTAAAGGGCCACATAATCAGCCATGGCGGGCTGGATTTGGCCCCCGGGCCTCGAGTTAAGCCTCCCTGTGAGCTGTTTACCAACTGGATTATAAAATATGAATTATACTTTCAGAGGATTCAGAGAGAAAGAGTTTTCATAAATCTGACCAGGTTTTATTTTTATTCATTTTATCTGATTGGGTTGTGAATAAACAAATGTAGAGCAAATTATTTGAGATAAACAAAATTATATTCCCCATCTGAAAGGATGTTTTCATGTTTTTGTAAAAGAATAATATAGCAATTATAATTTCAATGTTTTTTTTCCTTAACATTATTTTTTCAGCCTAAATAAATGGATGATTTATTATTCTGCTCTAAAGAGGAACATTTTTCTCCTCTGAATTAATGAATCAGTTCCAATTTCCTTTCCTTCTTTGTGTGGAAATGAATGTACATTATCTTAACTGGAGCTGAATAAAGTGGCGTCTGGCTGGCGTTGCAGTTTCCTTCCAGGACAATGATGGTCATCATCTCCCCTTAACGCTCATTTACTAGAGAAACACTGAGCATGAACCAGGCCATCCAGTCTGTTTGGAGGCTCCAACCTCAATCAGCTCACAAGTTACACCAGGATCTTTGGTGGAAATTATAGCTGGGATGATTTAAACTTTAGCAAAACGGATAAAACCAGATTTTTTTTTCTGGTTCTGTGACAATAAATCAGATCAAATTTTGTCTGATTTAGGTTAATTTAGATGCTAAAAGTCAGAATAATATTATATTTTTCATACTTAAAAGAAATAGAGAAGTGTGGATAAGTCTGTCTTATTTTTGGGAGAAGTTTCCATATATTAGAGAATAAACACCATGGAAATGTAGAAAATGTAGAAAATAAATTATGGCTGGGCTTGAATATGAGCTGTTTTAGGTGATATCTACAATCAAAATGAGTAATATAAAACCACAACAAGCTTGAACGCAGCATAGCTAAGCCTTATGGTTATATATGCACCAGTCATGTTTTATATTGTTTGCTGTTTAATTATTAACTTTGTGTTTTATTTTACAAATCCAGTTTAAACAGCAGTCTAACGATTCTGTCTCATTTTGAATGTTTAACAGCTCTGGTATAACCGTTCATTACAAATGGATTTCTTTTAGTAATTTCCCTTTTATTTGCCAGCCTGCCGTCTCCAACACATTTAGAATAAAATGTGTTGTTTACATCCACCAGCGAAGACAGAATCTGCTTCGCTGGTGGATGTAAGCCAAGCAGATTCATCCACCAAAATTTGTCACTTTCCTCTTAATTAGCAACATAACATTTCAAAATAGATGTTTTTTCTTTTACTTCCATGCTATTTCTGAATATAATTAGATGAAAAAGAAAAACATACATTTATACAAGAGCTGGACAATATTGCTGAAAAACAACATGAAATAATATCAACAATTATTGATTGTTTTTTTTTTTTTTTAAATTTCTGAAATATTGTCGGACTGATGATGTGACTTTTCCTGTTTTATTCAGTTTTCTGTCCTCGTTTTTTTTTTTTTTTTTTTTATGATTAATAAACATAAAATAAAGAAAAAAAA